CCCCCCCCCGTGTCCCCTCCAGCCCATCGCTGCAGCCTCTGGGCTTATCGGGCTAAACTCCACGTTGCTAGGGGCCATTCATGGGGCGGCAGCACTGCCTAGTAGGTAGAGCGCTTACCTGGGCCTCACGTTCTATTCCTGCTTGTTCCATTGGTAATCTTGGGGAAATTGCTTCCTTCCCTGTGCCTCACTTTCCCCTTCTGCCCAATGGGGCTAGCAAAAACCATGTCTGACTGCAAATTAGTGGTGTAGATTAGTGGTTTTTTGCTAGGGGCCATTCATGGGGCGGCAGCACTGCCTAGTAGGTAGAGCGCTTACCTGGGCCTCACGTTCTATTCCTGCTTGTTCCATTGGTAATCTTGGGGAAATTGCTTCCTTCCCTGTGCCTCACTTTCCCCTTCTGCCCAATGGGGCTAGCAAAAACCATGTCTGACTGCAAATTAGTGGTGTAGATTAGTGGTTTTTCAGCCTTTGTTCCACAGACTCCTGTGCATCTATAAAGTATGTCTAGACTAAGCACCTGAAGATGTTATAGGTACTGTTTATTCAATTTACCCCCTAGAAAACAAGAAGCTTTGAATACTAAAAAGCTGTGTCTAGACTGGCAAGTTTTTCCAGAAAATCAGCTGCTTTTCCGGAAAAACTTGCCAGCTGTCTACCCTGGCTGCTTGAATTTCCGGAAAAGCACTGACAATCTCATGTAAGATCGTCAGTGCTTTTCCGGAAATACTATGCTGATCCCGTTCGGGCAAAAGTCTTTTTCTGAAAGACTTTTGCGCAAAAGGACCAGTGTAGACAGCACAGTACTGTTTTCGGCAAAAAAGCCCTGATTGCAAAAATGGCGATCGGGGCTTTTTTGCGGAAAAGCGCGTCTAGATTGGCCACGGACGCTTTTCCACAAAAAGTGCTTTTGCGGAAAATATCCTGCCAATCTAGACGTGCTTTTCCGAAAATGCTTTTAATGGAAAAGTTTTCCGTTAAAAGCATTTTCGGAAAATCATGCCAGTGTAGAAGTAGCCAGGGACTGTAGCAAGGGGGTGGTGTGCATGTAACCGTTAGAATTGACTGGTGAGCCCAGACTAACTTGGACAGGAAAAGTGGGTGGGCAGGGGGTTGCCCTGGGCCCCGCATAGGGTGGGGGAGGTTGCCTCAGGGCCCGTGCCCACCTACAGATGGCTCTGGGGGCAGAAGCATGTTGCGCTGGCAGGAGAGTGATGCAGCCAGGCTGATGGACAGTCAGCAGGGGTCAGGAGTCTCAGCTTGTGAATTCAGGGGGCTTTGGCCCTGATTTGAGTGGGCCTGGATGCTAAGTGGGTGGGCCAAGACCCACTCAGGCCTGCCTGTAGGGGTCGGGTCAGGAGGGAATTCTCCCCCAGATCAGATTGGCAGAGATCCTGGGAAGGTTTTACCTTTCTCTGCAGCAAAGGGTAAGAGTCACTTGAAGGTTTAACCAACTGTAAATGGTGGATTTTCTGTAACTTGAAGGCTGCGTCTTGATTGGCATGATTTTCCGAAAATGCTTTTAACGGAAAAGTTTTCTGTTAAAAGCATTTTCGGAACAGAGCGTCTAGATTGGCACGGACGCTTTTCCGCAAAAGCAAAAAGCATCCATGCCAATCTAGACGCTCTTTTCCTCAAAAGAGCCCCGATCACCATTTTCGCGATCGGGGCTTTTTTGCGGAAAACAAATCTGAGCTGTCTACGCTGGACATTTTGCGCAAAAGCTTTGCGCAAAAGGGACTTTTGCCCGAACGGGAGCAGCATAGTATTTCCGCAAGAAGCACTGATTTCAGACAGTAGGAAGTCTGTGCTTTTGCGTAAATTCAAGTGGCCAGTGTAGACAGCTGGCAAGTTTTTCCGGAAAAGCGGCTGATTTTCCAGAAAAACTGGCCAGTCTAGACATAGCCGAAGTGTTTCAATGAAGGGGTCGGTTACAGGAGTGGATGGGGGAAGATTCTGTGGCCTGCGATGTGCAGAAGCTCATACTAGATGAACATAATGGTTCCTTCTGGCCTTAAAATCTATGCCAATTGCCCATACAATCAATAGCGACATATGTACAATCCCCATGCATCTTGCAGCTCTTGGAAAGTGCTGTTTACAAACTTCTTCCAGCCAGGCTGTGCAGAGGCAGGAGGGGTTCACTGTGTGCTCTTGTCCCCTTTCAGCGCCTCCTTTCTCTTCTTCACGGCTGCCTTGTGGCACTGCGAGTGCCTGCCTGCCTGGCAAGTCAAAACATGCTCCAGCCCCAGTGGACTAACAGCAGACGATGGCAGAGCTGCTGGCAGTTGGGGAGGCTTTGGGGGAGGGCAGTCTGGTGACTGTGGCAGTCAAGGGCTGCCGCCTGGCAGGCAACAGGCTGAACCTAGATGTGTACCCTGACGGCTGTCGCCAGTTCCTCGAGCTGTTTGAGAAACGAAGGGAAGACGTGGTCCGGGTGGAATTTCTACGGCTGAACTGCAATGATGCCCTCATAAACTCCACACTGGGCAGCCTTCCTGTACTGGAGAGCCTGCGGTCCTTGGTGCTGAAAGGTAAGACACAGAGAGGCATCTCTGCTCCTTGGTCCAGGATGAATGGACTGTATGGTTTCCATTGTGCACTGGAGCCCCTTGCAGTGGCTTTGGGTCCATTTGCCTTGTGGGGGATCAGCGTGCTCATCCAGCAAGATACAGCTTAAGGTCCATCATTACCGTCCTTTGTTTCTGTAGTGGCTGGGGACTTGTTTCTGTCTGACAGGTACAGCCTGTTATCTGAAAGTCACTTGATTTGAGTTGTAGAGAGTCTGATTTAGAGAGTTGGTGTTTATTCCCTACCTCCCTTTATGAGATGTAATGAATTCCTTTGGCTTTATTTCATCCTGCTGTTATTTTCTGGACAGCTCCTCGTCCTGTCACCTGGAGCCTGATTCAAGAATGACCAGGAAAGGAGGCTAATTTATCAGGAGCACAATAAGTACTGGGAATTGGGGGTCTGCCTATGACTTGGAGCCATGGCATGATAATGAATAATATACACATAAATACAGGCAGTCCCCGGGTTACGTACAAGATAGGGACTATAGGTTTGTTCTTAAGTTGAATCTGTATGTAAGTCGGAACTGGCGTCCAGATTCAGCCGCTGCTGAAACTGATCAGTTTCAGCAGCGGCTGAATCTGGACGCCAGTTCCGACTTACATACAGATTCAACTTAAGAACAAACCTATAGTCCCTATCTTGTACGTAACCCGGGGACTGCCTGTATTTATGTGTATATTATTCATTATCATGCCATGGCTCCAAGTCATAGGCAGACCCCCAATTCCCAGTACTTATTGTGCTCCTGATAAATTAGCCTCCTTTCCTGGTCATTCTTGAATCAGGCTGCAGGTGATAGGACGAGGAGCTGTCCAGAAAATAACAGCAGGATGAAATAAAGCCAAAGGAATTCATTACATCTCATAAAGGAAGGTAGGGAATAAACACCAACTCTCTAAATCAGACTCTCTACAACTCAAATCAAGTGACTTTCAGATAACAGGCTGTACCTGTCAGACAGAAACAAGTCCCCAGCCACTACAGAAACAAAGGACGGTAATGATGGACCTTAAGCTGTATCTTGCTGGATGAGCACGCTGATCCCCCACAAGGCAAATGGACCCAAAGCCACTGCAAGGGGCTCCAGTGCACAATGGAAACCATACAGTCCATTCATCCTGGACCAAGGAGCAGAGATGCCTCTCTGTGTCTTACCTTTCAGCACCAAGGACCGCAGGCTCTCCAGTACAGGAAGGCTGCCCAGTGTGGAGTTTATGAGGGCATCATTGCAGTTCAGCCGTAGAAATTCCACCCGGACCACGTCTTCCTGCTTTGCTCCCCGTCCCCCTGGTCTGCTGTCCGCCGCCCGCATGCTCCGCGGCTGTGCTCTGCTTTGCTCCCCGTCCCCCTGCCAGGAATAAGAGATCCTCCGGAAAAGGGCTTTTTTCTGGAGGATCAGGGCCAGTGTTTTTCTAAAAGCCGGAAAAAAGTGGCAGACATTTTTATTTAAATGCCGCGGGGGATATTTAAATCCCCTGCGGATTTCCCTATTACGACCTGTCAAATTAGCATGCCCCTTTCGGAAAAGGGGCCAGTGTAGACGTAGCCAGTGCGGTTAAGTCACCCAGCGACAGAGCTGGGATTAGAACCGAGATCTCCTGAGCCCCACTTTGGTGCACACGTTGAGCTTTGCTGTACACCATGCTTGAATAATCTGCGTGCATGCACCAGTCCTCCAGCCTCCTGCTAGTGGTGTCTGAACCAGGGATGTGTTGGGATACATGGTTAAACAGTTAACTGATCAGCTTGGCTCATTGGTTAACCTTCACAGTTACACCTCTCCACTGCTGCCTCTGTATTGTGTGGCGGGGAGCAGACAGGAGCCAGTGCTCTTGGACACCCAGTTTTCCTGCTCCCTCCCTGGCAGCAGCGGGAGTGGGGAGGGGAGAAGGTGGCTCTGCTGGAGCTGGTGCTTGTGGGGAGCAGGCTTAAAAGCCGGCTCCCTATGTGCACTGGCTCTCACAGACATCTCTCTCCTCTCACTGCTGCTGGGGGAAGGGGGAGAGGGGAGAAAATTTCAGTGGTTACACGTTTACCAAAAAAAAGAGAGCTTTTTAAAATCCCTCATCTGAACTTCCAGTTTGCCATGCTGTCAATGTCCGAGAGGGTTGTGCATGCGTGTTTGAGGCTAGCTTAGCAGAATCCATGGAATGTGGACTCTTCTCTCTCTGTTTTTCCATGCCCCCAGGAGGTCATGCCAAGGATGAATTTGGTGCTTGTCTGCAAGGTTCCCTGACAACCTTATCAGAAGATTTTGGGAGTCTACGATGTCTCGCTCATCTGGATCTCAGCTTTAATAGCTTCTCTAGGTTGCCCAGTTGCATCACTGACCTTACCAGCCTCCGTGAGCTCTTGGTGTGCCACAACAGCCTGGTGGGGCTGCCCGAAGACTTTGGCCGGCTCACTAAGCTGATTTTCTTCTCTGCCATGAAAAATCAGCTCAGGGATCTGCCACGGAGTATCGGGGAACTGGCAGCGCTGCAAAGACTGGACCTGTCTGAGAACACCTTACAATCACTTCCTGACGAGATCGGGAGGCTGGGTAACTGCATGGAGCTGGATCTCTCAGGGAATCAATTGATGGGCATCCCTGACTCACTCGGTAAGAGGTGCACCTGGAAGAGAGGGAATCAATGTCCCTAGCTTGGTCCAGCCATGAGGGCAGGTGACTGGCCTAGATGATCTCTCGAACCAGCCATGAGGGCAGGTGACTGGCCTAGATGCTCTCTCGAAATCCCTTCCAGTTCTAGTATTCTATGATTCTAGCTCCTGGCTCAGGATGTTAAATTGCAGTTATCTAATTGTGTAGTTGATACAATTTGTATCAACTACACGATTAATCGATAGTCTGCAGAGCCACAGTGGGGGTAGCTTCTGGAGCTGGCTTGAGCCAGGACTCAGCAGCAGCCCCTGTCCGCAGGGAGGCCCCGCTGATAGAGGCAGGTGGCAGAGAGGGGGACAGGTGACACCCCCCATCACTATCTCCTGTTCCCTCCCTCCCCCCTGCTGCCTCTCATACAGAGACAGCAAGAATGGGGGGGAAGTGAGTAGTCGACTACTCACTAGCATCCCTACGCCTGATATGGATTGGGTGGGGTTTAGGGGGCCTTTGAACAGGGAGGCATGTAAAACCTAGCCTTTAAATGGGATTCGGTATCTGTCACTGCCCCCTTTACTTCGTCACCCCCATGCAGAGTGTGGATCGGGTGGTAACTCTTATACAACTTGCTAGGAGCAGGGTATTGTCTAAATCACCTGTTTTCAAACTCCAGTCGTAGGCCTGCTTGGGTAAGCCACTGGTGGGCCCACGACACTTTGTTTGTTCAAGTGTCTGTAGCCACGGAGCTTCCATTGGCTGGGAATGGTGAACGGCAGCCAATGGGAACTGCGAGGCTCCATAGCAACGGAACTGGAATAAACAAAGCGTTGCGGGCCCACCAGCAGCTTACCCAGCCTGCAACCCAAGTTTGAAACCAGCGGTCTAGGCAGAGTCCCATCAATTTAGTCAATGAGCAGAGCAGGCCCTTGGAAGATTCAGACGGCTTTGGGCCAGCTCCTGAGTTGTTATAAATCAGGATTATGCCATTGCCTTTGAACTGATGTACACCAGCTACGGATCCAGGCCACTGGCTGGCTGGGGCACTTGCTGCCAATAGGATCCCTGCTTCTCTGCAGTCACTACTCTGAGACAAGGCACTAAGGGCTAATGGTGTTGATGGGCTGCTGTTTTAAATGACGTCTATGCTGTGTCCAGACCAATCCAGAAAGTGTTTCCATGCTGGACTCAGAGATCTCAAACCCGTATTCTGAATGAGGCTGTTTCTGTAGCTTTAATTTTTGTATTACTGTGCCCACATTTCTGCTGTGGTAGTTGTTTTGCAGTAGCACCTAAAAGCCCTAGGCATGGACCTGAGCTCCATTGTGCCCGGTGCTGTACAAACAACAACAAAGGGGGTCCTTGTCTCAAAGAACTTACTGCCCTCCCCACTGGAAAATTCTCGGAAGCCCTGATCTTTAAATAATCCCTCTTGTGATTTAAATATATCCATGATTTGTGTGTGTTTTGGAGTCTGATGCAGGCTGGCTGGGGTGGAGCTTGGGTGCTTATGGAGGGGAATTGGGGATGTATATATCTGTTGTTGGTGACGATTAGTGTCACTGTTCATGTATTTAGCAAGCAGGCAATATTTCTTCTTGTTCTAACTTGCAGCCAATTTGCGATCTCTGCAGCAGCTGCGCCTTCACAGCAATCTCCTGGTGACAGTCCCCGCATCCCTCGCCAGCCTTCCCAACTTGTCCAGGCTTGACTTGCAGAACAACAGGCTACGCTCCATCCCCCCCGAGATCCAGAGCTCTCCCTTCGTGCACCTGCGGGGCAACCCTCTAGGAGAACCTGAGATCCCCCTGCAATCTGGTAATTGCCTTTCTTTGGTCTGACTGCATCTCAAACAGCTGCTCCCTGGCTCTAGGAAGCATCACAAGCAGGTGTGTGAACGTGACTGTCGGAGATGAGCAGGAGGGGCAGAAGACTGATAATTATTGATAAGGCATCATTGCAGTTGTATATCGCACTGCACAGACATGTGAAGAGTGAGCCCCTCTCCCAAAGAGTTTGCAGTCAATGGCTATGTCTGCACTTGCACTTAATTGACAAAACTTTTGTCACTCACAGAAGCTTAAACCCCTTTCCTCAAACAACAAAGTTTTGCCGCAGCAAGTGTAAATGTGAATGCTGCATGGCAGGAGCACTCTGCTGCTGATAAAGTGAAGCTCACTTGTTGGGGGTGCAAGTAGGAATGTTAAGTAGCGGTTAATTTGCTGGTCGAGGAGTTGATGGAATTTCCCTCGACTACTCAGTTGAAAAGGAAGGGCAATTACAGCACTTGCTTCTGGGGCATGCTGGGTCTCAGGACAGCCTCCCGCTGCCGCTCTGCATTCTGAAAGGGACAGAGCAGCCGGCCCCGCAGGTCTCTGCACAAGCTCCCCCTTCACTGCCGTTGGGTTTTCCAATTTGTTTGGGGGCAGGCATTGGAAATCATTAAGGGCAGACGTCAGATCTTTGTTTTCTAGTGTAGTTTCTTGGTTCTTCAGAGTACCTCAGTGACTCCTAAGTAAAGTAGCAAGCACTACTAGGGTTAGCATGTGCAGGATGAAGACCTTATTTATGTTACAGGGTCTTTCAAGCAGGGAAGCAAACTCCACAGCAGTGCGTTAAAGTGCTCGGTTTCCTTTGTGGGGAGGACAAGGTTCCCGAGTAAGCCTACTTCTTTGTGAAATACAGTGAAACCAAGAAAGGTTTGCTTTTTTCCACAGGGCTCTGGTCTGCAGCATTTGCAGTGTGTGGATCACATCCACTCCCCTGTCCTTTGAGGATGCAGAGGGGCAGCCGGGAGGGAAGTAGGGGGGGTTTGTGCTGAGAACAGGACCAGCTGCTCTGTCCCTTTAAGAATGCAGAGAAGCAGCGGGGTGGGGTGGGGTGGGGGGGAGTGTCCTGAGACCCAGCGGGGAACCAGAGATTGATCCAGCTTCTTTGCACACTAGCTCTTCTCTGTCCCTTTAAGAATGCAGTGTGTGTGTGTGTGGGGGGCGGGGGGAATGATCGAGTAGTTGATATTGCTACCTGATAAGCTCCTGCTTATAGGATAGTTGACTATTCGTTCACATCCTTAGGTGGAAGTGAGTGTTCGCATATGCAGACTTTTAGCAACAGGCTGTACTAGAGGGTGTATAAGGGAGAGATGACAGCTGTCCAGAAGTTGTGCACTAGATTGCCTGTGTCTTCAGTTCTAGCCTGTGCTAGTTCTGTGGGAGGGAGTTCCAAGGTGAGTCAGTTCTAATTTTTGGAGATGCCTTTGCACAGCCTGATTGTTGGAAAGATCTTGCAGGTTATGGTAGGGGTAGGATTGTGGGGGAGTCAGTGGGCAAAAGGTCAGTCTCTTGGGTAAGTCCTCAAGCTGCAAGCAAAAAGATCCTGAAAAGCATTTGCCTTTTAGATCATAAACAGGCAGGGGTAGGGATGAGTCTGATGCCAGTACAGCTAGGAGAACAGCTGCTAAGTACAGGAAATGAAAGGCATCCAAAGTTCACTGACCTTTGTCCATCCTCCCCTGGAACCCAATTCAAATCCTATTGGGAGACATGGAAAATCTTGCATTGACTTCAGTGGAATTTGGGTTCAGCCCCTGGTAAGAAGAGTGTTGCAAGAGAGATGCTTTTTGGTCACCAGCACCCCTCAAATTAGCGGAACCTTTGCCTGCTACCCACTCCGTTAACTCTTTTTCTGATTCACTGCAGATGAATCCAGCTCAGAAGAGCTAGGAAGAGTGATCCTTGGACCCAAGGAGGACAGGTATTTCATTAAGTGGCTCTGTTGTTGTTGTGACTATTTATTATTTTGTATTGCAGTAGCACCTAGTCAATGTTAGGGTCTCAGTATACTAGAGGCTGTACACATGCTTTAGAGGGATAGTCTCTGTCCAAAATTATTTCCTGTCCAAATGGACAAGCCAGAGTTTACCCTAGGAGTGGGCAAAAGGGCCTCTGTGGGCCGGCTCTGACCCTCCAAGCGGGTTGATCCGGCCCGTGGAAGCCCTGCCGCTTCCCCTCCCCCAGGCCAATCAGGCCCTAGGAACGAGGGAGCACACAGTGTTTAGAGTCAACCCTGACTCTAAATCCCACGCGCCAGACGGCAGGGAGCGAGAGACTTCGCGTGCTCCCATCCCCAGGCCAATTGAGGTCTGGGGGCAGGTGGAAATGTGCAAAGTCTTCTCCTGCCCTGCCCTCTGGCACGCAGTGCTTGGAAATGCTGCATGCTCCTGGCAGGGCGAGAGGAGACTTTGCGCGTTCCCCCTGCCCAAGCCCTGATTGGCCTGGGGGCGGAGGGAGCACATGAAGTCTCCTACTGCCCTGCAAGGGGCACAACACTTAAAGTCAACTGCTCAGCTGCTGCTCAGCTGGTGGTTGACTCTAAGCATGGAGCTCCCTTGCAGGGCGGGGGCAGGGAGCGAGAGACTTCATGTGCTCTCCCACCCCCAGAATAATCAGGGTCTGTGGGTGAGGAAGCAGGGAAGTGTCCTGGCCCTGACCCTTCCAGGGCAGCCCAGGTCCACTTCAAAAATTTCTGAATTGGCCCCTGGTCAAAAATAATTGTCCACCCCTGGCTTACTCCATTACATGAAGGGAGTTTGTCTGCCAGAGACAGGACACAGGAAAAAAGAAGTTTAGTAGAGTGTGATGTCATTGGTGAGGCAAGCTCTCTCATTGGACATCTTCCGTTGTTGAGAGAGAGAGAGAGAGAGAGAGACTTTCAAGCTATGCAGATCTCTTCTTTAGGTCTGGGGAGTAGTTAATGCTTATCCTAAGGGACCAGTCAAGATGAATTTGCCCATTAACATCCTTGTAGCCAGAGGATCAAAAGGGGGGTTAATACATTACAGATTAAATGGGTCCAATAAAAGTGATGACTTCACCCACCTTGTCTCTCTAATATCCTGGGACCCATAGTGCTACCACAGGGCTACCACAACACTGCTTACACTAGTGGAAGTCCTTGCAATATGTCATTCAGACAGCCTCTCTCTTTCTCAAGCTTTACTGTGACCCCCGGAGGCTGCAAAGTCATCCTGGCCTGCGGCGTCCGGTTTTACTTTCCCCCGGGTGCTGCCACCTCCTCAGTAACAATCCATTTCCAAACGCTCTCACCTGACCCACGCTGGGTGAAACTGAGGCACCATGACATCCTACTGAGTGAAGTGCTGGAGCTGCGGCCTCATGGGGTTGAATTCCAGCAGGTAAGAACATGTGAGAGTCAGGACAGGGCTGGGCTGAGCTCTGTGTTTGCTTTAGCCGCTAGGTCCATGATATGAGCAAATGGGAGTGGCCAGAAAATTCCTGTTTGTGACCTGAAAGGATCATGTTGTGGGGCTGCCAGGGCTGTGTACTGACTGCTGGGATCTCTGAACTAAGGGTGTTAAAATGCAGTTAGTTGACTAGTCGATGGAATTTCCATCAACTAGTTGATAGGCACTTCCACATTCCTTCTTTGAAATGTACGAGAGTCCCAAAAGGGGCTCTTGTACATTTCAAAGGAGGAATGCGGCACTCCGCTTACAGCCTCGGGTCAGTGGGAAATCCCGCTGACTCTGGCTGCACATGGGTGCCAGCTTTGAAATGCACAAGAGTCCCCAGCAGGGGCTTTTGTGCATTTCAAAGCTGTGGAGCCCGGGATCAGCTGGGGAGTCCCACTCTCATCAGTTCCCAGCACCCCTGGCTGGCTGGGTCCGTCAAACCAGTGCAGACCCCTTCTGAGGTGCAACCAACATTGATAGAAACATGCTGGCCCTTCAGGGCCAATCATAAATCAAATGGTATCTGATCCTTCCCCTGAATTAATTCAGCAGGGCTCCTCCTGAGCGCCACCTGCCAATCTGTGGCCAGCAATGGGCTTTGACCTAGTGTGGCTCCTTTGTCTGTAGCCTAGGAAGCATTTCTTCTCACGTCGCAGGCTCCAGCCAGGAGCTACTGTGCTAGCAGCAGGCAGCCCCTCTTCTTTTGGCTTTGATTGAATGTTTCTGATCCCCAGCCCATTAGTCACTCTCAATGGTTCCCACTGGGGCTGCCCTTGGGGTGCTTTGCTAGGGAAGCCTGGCGATTTAATGCTCACTGGTCTTTTCCACTCTGCAAGCTGTTTCCAGAGGCAGGGAGTAGTGGAGCTGGGGGAAGGGGACAGGGCACAGAGGGTTGCTACACCCTGTCAGGCTGCCTTTGGCCTCCCCTGCTTGCTCGGGTAAGAATGCTCAGACTGCAGAGCACAGCTACGACAGAGCTGTGGATGCTCCCTGTGGATGTCTCATGGAAATGCCCTGTCGTCCCCTGCCAGGAGGTGCAGATCTGGATGCCTTACACCTCCCCTCAGACGCTGTGTAAGCGAGAGGTGGTCGTGCGGACCTTCGACGGGCAGAGCTGGAGCGACCTGCAAACCAACGTGAAGCGGAGAGGCAAGCCAAAGGTAAGCAGGCTGGGTTAACGCCTGGTCACGTGTGGGTACCTGACTTGCCCTGCAGCAGGTGGCAGGCTTTAACTTTCTCCAGTCTCCAGGGCTAGCTTGGATGCATTTCATGAATCTGAGCTGTGTGTTCAATGGTGTAAATGGATTGCAGCCAGGGTAGGATTAAGGTCTTCGTAGGCCTCGTAATTGTAGGACTTTAAATTAGATTATGTATTAATAAGGAAGAAATGCCCTATCGCCTATACGCCTGATATTGCCCACTTTAATTTTTGCTCTTGAAAGTGGCACGCCATGTGTGCAATTCATGGTACTTCATTCTAAAGTCAGATGAGGTGTCCAAAGACAAAGGCACATTTACATGCAAGGTGAACAAAGCCATCAGGAGAGCAAGTGGGGACAGATGATCACTTAACAAGGATGGAGCCTGCACCAGGAAGCCTTCCTGCTTTTTGAGACCGGCTAGCTGAATGTTGGGAAGACAGCAGGGCATCTACGTCCCAGCAAGAGAGATGCTTTGTTTGGGCTCCCTTTTCAAAGAATACCTTTCAAAGGATTACTGGAGTATAAAAAGAAAGGGGAGAGAACCCAAAACTTACCTGTCTCTTGAGGGACCAAAGAAGCCAGCACTTTGTTTCTACAAGAGTGGCTCCTGGCTGGACCAGTCACAGTGCTGTAAGAAGGGAAACAAGCTTGAACGAGATCTTGAACTGGTTATGTTAAATCTTAGTCTTAGAAGCATTTTTTACTTTAGTTGGCTTGTAACCATTTTTATCTCCATTTTCTTCCCACTTGATATAGTTTAAACCTGTGTCATTCTGATAAACTTGGACTAATTTTACCATAAACCTACTTGGTGCTTTGACTGAAGTGGAGCATTTGTCAACCCCAGTTATGTTAATAAGCTGCACTGTACTGTCTCTTTAAAGGCACAGCAAATGTAACTTCTTCAAGTGTTCAACAAGAGGACTGGACTCTACAGGGCAGACAGTATTGAAGACATTTGGGACTAGGAGGATGTTGGGCTCACCCTGTAAAAAGTAACTAGGTCGTGGAGGACAGGCTATAGCCTGCATGCTTGTCTGCTGGCTGTGGATGTCAGGACTGTGAGCCACAGCTGCACAGCATTTAAGAAACCCAGAATTTCAGGGCAGACAGTGCCACTTCCCCTTTTGGGACTAGGCGCAACCCCAAAGCATCAGAGTGGGTAACCCAAAACATTGCACATACAGTGAGAGTATCTAACAGGGCGGCCCTCATCTCTTGCAAGTGCCCCATCTGGTCAAGTGCATGTGCCTGCACAGTCTCTTTAAAAAGCCTTTTTGGCTACTTGAGTCCTCCAGCTGAGTCACGCCCAGTGTGAAATACAAACCCCTTCTGGGGTACACATCTAACAGGGCCCATTCCAAGTGTCCTCTTGTCTGGTGTCTCTCTTAGTCTGTCCCTTAAGTTTGTTTCCTCTCAGTCTGTTCCTCCAGTCCAAGAGAGTGGTGCTTTCTGGGCTTTCCCTTCTGTAGAAAGCTTCCTCAGACAGCCTCATGGTCTGCATGGCTTGAGCTCTGCCCTGAACTAACTGCTTCTCTGCTTTGCAGCTCCCTTTGTAGGCCTTTCTAGCCCCTGATTGGTCAGTTCCTCCATTGCCACTTGCCTGTTTGGAAGAGCTCTCTGTGGTCTCTCTGGGGCAGCGTGTGCCCAGATCACCCCATCACAGGGTGCTTAGACTCCTCAGGTATAACATTGCACCTGTATATTGCTTGTTGCTTAAGGGTAGCAAATATATTAACTTGGATTTTAGCAGTTTTCCTATATTTTTAGTCAGTTATGAATTTTTTTAGGCCCTAATCTTTTTCATAGGCCATAGGCACTGTGCCTAATGGATAATCTGGCCCTGATTGCAGCTGTAGTCCTCATCTCTAATACAGGGTCATGGCTCCTAAAGACTACAGGTTCCAGCATGCAGTGCTTCATGTCGATTACCATTGGACTGAAATATCTGCCAGGTTGAGACCTGGTCTTATTCCACGTTTTGTGAAGAGCTGTGGGATACTGTACAGAGCTTCAATCTGTGCTCTCCCCTCCCTACCCACAGTCTTGCCTGCGAGCACAAGACATTGCTACAGGCTCTTGTGTCTTGGCTGCTTCTGCAGGCTGTGCAGTGTGTCCTGTCTCAGGAGTGGGAATGAAAGGAGTGGGAAATGCCAGCTCTGCTGGTGCAAACCTCTTCTCAGTTGTCTAAAAGAAATAGGCTTTATTGGTTTGTAACAGGTTTCACCCTCACTCCCACAGCGCCTTCTGCTGGCTATCCTTGAATCAGCTCTGCCCTCTTCTGAGGGTGTCTCACCTTAGTTACCTTCCCCGTCTATCTCCACCATGCCAGGACCCATGTCCTTCCCAGACCGTGGCACCCTTTCTCTAGGTATTGCACCCGAGTGATGCCCCCTCTCTGGGCTCCTCCCTGTTAGGGAACAGCCACTCCCAATCCTACCACTGGTGTCAGGGGCCCACTGCTGTCCTTACTCTAGCCCCTTGCCCCAAGGGCAGACTGCAGTCTGAATTGGCTACTCTCATCGTCAAGGGGGGTGAACCTGCTGCTTATTTCTTTCTGAGCCGCTCCTATGGGTCCTGATACCTGTTGGGCCCCTTTATCAGGCCTCAGCTTGGGAGTTAGCCAGGCTGGAGTCCCGCTGGAGTCCCTCTCCCTGCACTGCCCTGTCCATGACACCAGTCCTCTATAGGTAGATAGTCCTTCTTCCTCCAGAGCTGGCGAGAGACTGAGCTCCCTCTGCCCTGCAGCCCTTTTTACCTCACTCAGCTAGGCCCCGACTAGCTGCCATAAACCTGCTCTTTATAAGTAACTCCTGGAACAGCCTTATCCCAGAGCTATTTTTAACCCCTTTTATTCCGGTCAGTGCTCCCGCAATAAGGATCGGGCTGTTGTGATTAGGGATGTTAATTTTCAATTAATCAGCTAATCGAGTAGTCGTCCACGTGGAGGGCTCTTACTACATTTAAAAGGCAGAAGAGAAGTGAAGAACACGGGATAAGTGTGTTCCATTTGTAGCGCTTCTGTTTTGAAATGTAGCAAGAGTGCCCTGGGGCTCTTGCTACATTGCAAAGGCAGAAGTGCTGCAGTCAAACACCGGGCACTCAGGGACTACTTCAGTCCCCACTTGCGCCATTTCCCCGCTGTGCCTCTGCCTCCCCTGTCTCTGTGGCTTCTGTTCCCTCCCCCCTTGCTGCCTCTCTTTGGTAGAAGCAGCTAGGGTGGGGGGAAGCGACTAGTCGACTAGACACTTACATTCCTAGTTGTGACTGAAAGATACTACAACATGTCACTCACTTGGGTTTTCTTTGTTCCCCATGATTGAAACAGAAGCACATGGCTCGCTGTAGCGTCCCCCACTTCTCCTGGTTCCTGGTCGTGTCTCGTCTTGTGGAGAATGAATGCAGTGTGCCATTAGAGGGGACCTTGCTCTTTTCCACTGTGGATCCAAACATCAAAGTGACCTTCCCTCCTGGAGTCACAGAGGAGACTCGGAGTGTGAGATTGCAGGTGTGTGCAAGTGAAAACTAACAGAGAAGCTGGGGCGTTACTGCAGGCCTATGCTAGAGAGGAGAGCAGGCAATGGAATACATGCACTAACTGAGAAAGAAGAATGGGCTTGGGAACTGGATCTGACTTGGGCTTCTTGTGGCTTTAGACACATCAGATCACCTTCCTGCCTCAGTTTCCCTCTCTGTGACATGGGCTGGGTCCTTAGCTATCTGGCAGGCCATATGTGAAGCATTGCAACTCTTAGAGTATCTTGCTGAGGTAGGGCCTGGTTTAACGCCCAATAGAGTCAGTGGGTGTTAGGTTTGTGCCCTTGGTGCCTCACTTCTCAGAGGGCTGGAGGCCTGCGGCTGCCACTGACCTCAGTTGGTTGCTGAGGAATTCTGCAAATCATTGCCATAATGCGTTAGTGCACTGTTCTTCCCTACCTCCCACCACGTTCTCCAAGGCTTTGACCTTTCCAAGCTAGGGACCTGGGGACAGATATATCTGGGCAGGTCACTGTCAGGGGCTTGTGGAACAGGCAGTTATCAAGTTTAATCCCGTACCCTGTAAAAACATTAAAAAAAAGGCTCTTTTCCTTCTCCCATAGAGCATTCTTTGATACTGTCCTGGCCCCTCTGTCCTCTTTGGAAGGCTGAATGGGTTTCTGCACAGAGATTCCCCTAATGAGGCTTTGGTTAATCAGCAAGCAGTGCTGTCGAGGGACATGCAGCTTTAGCCACTTGCTTTGTCTCCAAGAACAAAAAGCATGATGGGCCAGCTCAGCGAGTGAAATGCAGTGGATTAAATGTGACTCTTCTTCATGCTGTTCTGACTCTGGAACAGTCCCATTAAAGCTAGGGAGGGGGGCCATGACAGCTGTTTAATTAAATGTGTTATGGTAGCACCAAAGAAGAGTCAGTCTGGATTAGGGTCCTGTTTGCCAGGTTTACACCAGTATAACTGAGCAACATTTTTGGTTCAGTGATTAGGATTCACTCTCCCTAGTGGCAGCCACTGAGTCAGGCCTGGCATTTGAACGGCTGGTGGTGTTGCTTCCTTTCTACCTCTGTGAACTTGGGTATTCAGGCTTCTAGATTATAAGCTGATTTCATTATTGTTCATCCGCCAGGTGTTGCCAGTGTCGGCAGAGGAGCTAGAGGAAATCACAGATGATCCAGAGTCCAGAGCAAGTCCCTTGCTCTGCCTCTCCCAGAATTCCACTTTGGATTTCCTCCGGCCAGTTAAAATTCAGCTCCCACTACCTCCAGGGGTCACAGGTCAGTTTATGCCCAGAAATGGCCAGTGGAAAGCTTCTGTGCTAAAATCATAGTACTTAGTAGGTGATCTTTCAATTTCCACCAGGGGCCTTGTTCACAGTAGTTTATTACACAAGCAGCACCTTTCAGGGGATGCATATTGGACCCTGATGTTCGTAACCACAAAGCTTAGTACATCAGTAGCAAAAGAACTATAGTAGGCTGCAACATTCTCCTTCTAAAGAAGAAGCAAAACTGGACTTGGTACATCCTAGTAATGCTTGGAAAGTGTCTCTAAAGAGACAATCTAGCTCAGTAAGGGTGATCTCTGGTACATTTAACAAAGCATTTGAAAATATTATGGCCGCTTTGGATTCCCGGTTCCCACTGAGCCTTTAATCTGTTTTGACAATCTTAGCCCATCATGGTAGCCAGGCTTATGATGTCAATGCTCCAGTCTTCAATTGTTGGCCCTTTTATCTTAGCCCATCATGGTAGCCAGGCTTTTGATGTCAATGCTTCAGTCTTCAATTGTTGGCCCTTTTTTTAAATTTCCTTTTTTTTTTTTTAGTACTAGCCTGTGTCCTATTATTAGTGCTCTGCTTAGCCACAGTTTTCCAGGTGCTTCCAATTAACATCCATTAGATTTAAAAGTTTAGCTGGTAACCCCATTTTATTTCATAGGGAAAAGGTAACCCTGCAATTAAGTCAAGCCCAAAACACAAATTCTCAGAGCACCTGCTGAGTCCCATTGCCAGCAGTAGCACCTGTAACACCTGTTTTTGAACAGTGGGCGAGGGATTGTATAATTTTTCTGCTGGATTAATCTTAAATGGAGGTCCAAGGAACAGCTCGAAGCACTGGCTAGACAGAGTTTCAGATTAGCTAGAGACTCTGGTATGTAGAAGGGGGTTATTTTGGAATTCAGAAGAGATATTAAGAGCTATTGTGGATGCTGAAATACGTGGCATCACTGTTCTTTAGAGACTGGGTAGTAATGTGAGGGCAGCGTGTTGGGCTGGGAAAGAGGAAAAGGAGCAAATGGAAGCAGAATCTGGGCTCCACCCATGTGAGAGAAGGAGCCACTGTGGTGCATGGCTACAAATTTTTGTCAGTTGGTAAAGTTGGAAAATTTCAAATCACCTAGTTTTGGCAGGGAGCTGTGCTCTTTTTGTGAGACTGCTTTAGTTTGTTACCTGGCCCCCATGGAATGGACCTGACTGTGTCAATTTTGGTAAAATAAATGTAAGGAATATGAGTAAGGGGGGAATTGAGAATTAAAAGGCTCCTGGGAGAGGCATTCATTTCAATTGTTTTGTTTTTCCCCCAAGGGAGACAGGTAGTGTCTGCTGTCTATTTAAATCGCTTGTTATCTGCATGGTTAATGGCACACGGTTATCCTTGCTTATGTTTCCTATTTCCTTAAGGAATAGAATGCCAAGTTAGCTGAGGTTTGTCTGTTAAAATTTGCATGTCCCTAAAGAGAGTAACTTACTAGATCTAATGGGATCTTTGTCCTGTAGCCACAAAATTTATCAGTTATCATTTTGTATGATGTTTGGAATAGATTCTGAATTTGTAATAACTAGGAGAATTTTATCTTTATATATTTTAGAGAGTTTTTCTGTGCATCTGAGAGTCTGTTTGTTCAAGAATCCCTTCTAAATTATAGAGCTAGGACTACCAAATTTGGTATGCACCTTCCTCTTATCCTGATTTAAAGCAAGGTTCCAGGAAAACATGAGGTGCCTGGAATGGGATTGTTTTCCATAACACTGAAGGGGAGGGGTCTGAGAGCAGGGGTGGTTATTCTCTGCAATGACCACAAGGGGCAGTAAGGAGACAGTTATGCTGCACAGTGACCATAGGGGGGCAGCCACACTAGTAGGAGAGTTGCCAGCTGGGACTGGTGTTCTCCTTGTAGGCCACCATCCTGAGTCAGTGGCTCCCCCTTCACTAAAGCCTCCAGCCAAACCACTGCCAGGGCTGGATAGCACAGTCCTTGCAGTCCCCTTACAGAGCACTGCCGGGCAAGCAACACAGCCCCCACGCCAGAGGAGCCAGTAAGCTGCCCCTCTGACCTCTCTGTCCCCCACTCCCTACCCTGACCCAGCACCTATTACCTCTCTGCCCAGCTCCCTGCCCTGACTCCTGCACTCCTACCCCCTGCTGTGAGTTCCTAGCCCCTGCCCTCCACCCCTCACCCCCTGCTCTGAGCCCCATCATTTAAATAAAGCATGTACATTTTCCTTTTAATTTTAAAAAAACAGAAGCAAAACCAAAACCCATTACTGCAGGTAAGGACTTGGGCAACTTTAGGTACAACTGCTAATCAGCATATAAAAAGATGGTGTGGGTTTGTTTGGCTTTTCCCCCTCTGGAATCCCTGATTTGATCCCTGGGAGTTGGTGGTCTTAAAGAGTAAGCATCTCCTTGGTGAGCTGTCTTGGCTGCCAGAGGGTTGTCCAGTATTTGGAGATTTTTATAGAAAATCTGGAGCTGGAGCAGCATCCATAATGGTATTACATTAAGAGTTGTAGGATAATATCTGGTTAATATTAGATGGGGGGACAAGTCTTTCAGTTTCTGATGACTGTGGACTGTAAGAGGTGGGGAAGGGAGCTGTAAAGCTGTGCATCCCCCTGTCCCCTAGTCTAGAACTATTAATATTGCAGTATCACATGAGAACCCCAGTGAGACTGTGGTAGGCGCTGCCCAGACGCGTAACAGGAAAGACCATTCTTGCTCCAGAGCATTCACAACCTAGGCTAGAAGCCACTTTGCAGCTTTTCCTAGAGTGTCTGTTCCCAGGGCGGGCGTATGACTTGGTTGCTGCTCACCGAGGCTCAAACTTCACTTCATGCAGTTTAGGGCAGGAAGTGAGGCCTCATGCAGCCAACTAAAATGGCACATGATAGGTGCTGTGACAGTTTAATTTATCTTCAGTTAAATTGATGTCCTGCTCAGAAATGTTTGTCTAGTTGAGATGGGGTGCCCATGTCTGTGCCTTGCCATGGGTCAGCTCTCCAAGAACACCAGCCATGGGCAACACAAGCACTTCCCTCAGCCCAGGTGGGCTCTGCTGACCTTCTGCAAGTTAGTGATCAGCACATGGCAGTCTGTGAGTCCTCCAAGTATCCCCCTGTGGCATCCAACCCCTATTCCGCTAGAGACTCGCATAATTCACAGATCCACTGTTCCCAAAGCAACAGTGTCACCTCCCCCCCCCCCAGTTTACTTGTTGCAGCTTCATTGAACTCATGGCATGCACAGAGATATAGTGAAAACATTATTTAACACAGAGAGGAGATTCACATGATAGGAAATCTCAGTGTCCTGGAAACCGTTACCTATGCAGTAAAATTGTAACTTGCATTCTGTAACCTAAAATTATTTAACTAGTTACTTTCATTCCTTATAGAGCTAAGCCCACCCCAAATCCTTCCAGTGTATTGCAGCCAGGCTTAGCTGCGACCTTTAGTTTGTCCCCTCAGTGGAAGATCCAAGTTGTACCTCTGTATTCCCAGTGATGCCCACTCTCCAGTGGCTTCACTTACAAACAAGATAGTCTCCATGATGGTTGGTTTGGGGTCTTTTTCCCCCCTGTGTTATTTCTTTCTTGTCAGCTTCACAATCTCTTGATTATCATTTGGCTCAGCCTGTACTTAGTTCTCCAGTATGACATGGACAATACACACATGGCTTAACAGATACATGTTTCGTTCCTCCCGCCTTGATTGGAGTGTGTTTATAACCTTCTGGTGACCTGTCTTAATTACCTACCTTAGTATTCATACTGAAAAACATGTTCTTGTGACTGGAGTCCTAGAGGAAGGAAGCTGAGGTTATTCAGGTAGGAACAAACTACAAAGAATGGGTCAGGCACCGCACCAAGCTAGTGGTTATTCCAATGCTTAGATTTACCAAGCCAGCACATAACAGCTTCTATATACCTTTCTGCTTACTCAGAAGTCAACAGCACTGTTCCCTTCAGCAACCCAGCCTCAGGCCTTTACCCAGACACTCAAATCAAATATGATGAGGATCACTGAAGAACTTATTCATCAGATAAGAAAGTTCTACCAATCCCAAAGGATTGGACACTAACCTCTCAGGTTAATTAATATTTCAGATCGTACCTCAAATACACGCTTACAGCCGGTCCTTATTAACTAAACTAAAATGTATTAAGAGAGAGAGAGTATTGCATAAAAGCGTTCAGCACACATACAGGCATGAATACACTTCTGAGATCAGATTCATGGTAGAGATGTTGAGCTTTGTAGTTGCAAAGAGTTCTTACAGAATTAGCACATAGGTTATAGTCCATTGTCCATATTCAGGGTTAATCCAGATGGGGCTAGAGTTCTCAGTCTTATGATTTAGCTCTGCTCGATGCTTTATCAGGGGAAGCTTTGAGAGGGAAAAGGATCAGGTCCCAAGGGTTCCAGGTTTCTCTTCAGAGTTCTGAGTCTTTAGGCAAACAATAGGCAATCGTGGAGTTATTTCCTGTGTATCACTGGTAATTTATTACATAGATGAACATAAGACAATTGCCCATTTTTCCAAAATGTGCAGGTGATTTGTTACACACTTCAAAGAGACATGAATAGTGTATAGACAGAAACTCTTTGGTTACATTGTTAACTTTCAACACTATATAGTTAAACACATTCGGGAAGTAAGAGTGTAATTATTTAAATGGGTAACCAATAAGCATTAGCTTATCAGTTACCCAAACAGTTACAAGCTGGTTCCTGGTCTGGCTCCCAGGGAGCTGACTTCTGCCCTGCGGTGTTGCCTCTGTATTAGAATTAGCAGCGTGAGACAGCAGCCACTTCCCCAGAAGCAGGGTGGCAGGCAGGAGTCAGTGCGCGCAGGGAGCTGGCTTAAAAGCTAAAGCTTAAAAGCCGGCTCCCTGCATGCACCATCTCCTGGGGAGCTGGCTGCTGCCCTTTGCTGCTGACTCTGTATGAGAGTCTGCAGTGCGTGGTGGCAGCTGACTTCCCAGGAGTGGGACCAGCAGCTGGAAGTGCACTGGCTGCTGGCCCTGCTCCCAGGGAGCCAGTGTGTAAACTTGTAATGGCTAAAATTTGTCGTGCTTATGTGGTTACAATAAGAACCATTTTTAAACATCCCTAAAACACAGAAACATTATTTACCAATAGGTCCCTAAAGGTTGAATTTGGGTCATTTATCCTTCAGGATGCGTAACCCTTTCTTGTCCGGTGTCACAAATGCATAACTCCTTAAATATTATTTGTGTATGTATCTCTCTCAGTGATTAGAATGACCAGTGTGTTACAGGTTCTTGGTAGAAGCCTCACATGCCACCCTTTAGCTCATGCCACGCCTACGCTCTAGCTGTTTTGCACTTGACTTTGTCAAGCAATAAACTATGAAAAAAAATCCACGTGCATCTCAAACTAGACTTCAGCTTGTATCTCTCTTGATTTTAGGTCTCACCCTAGATCGCTCTAGGCTGCATCTTCTTCATGGCGACCTGCAAGCCCAAACCTGGGACGACATCACCAATCAGGTGGTCCTGGAGTTCACCCACCTCTATGCGCTGTTTGAAGTCACCCACTTCTCCTGGTGAGCTCTGACGCATTCCTGGGCAGTGTTTGAAGAAGAGGCTAGAAGGTGTATGGCTGTGCCTTGCCCCAGACCTTGGCTCGAGCTTCTGTTTCTGCCAGCTTCCCATCCAGCCCCCTGTGCATTGCGGGGGTTGCTCTTTCCCCTTCTCCTGAAGGGTGGAATGCCGTAGCTTTATACTCTAGCTGGCACTCAGTTCCTCGTCACACAGTATCACCGCGCTGCACAAAAAGCTTGGTTCTGTTTCACTTCATTCCCCTCTCCTCCCACTGGATTGCAATGAGCGCATTCCTGTTGCCCTTGTAGGCTAGGTGTCCCTGAGGGGCCCACACTCCAGCTAGTACGCTCCCACTTAGAACCTATATCCATTCAGTAGTGAGGTTCCTGGCCACCTCTTCTCACAGGTGCCAGAATCCTTCCCTCATCCATAGGTTGTTTAGTGGTTGCTAAGTTGTCTCCCCCACTTTTGAGCTGGGAGTCTGCTTTTTGGTGGATAAACTGAGTCAGGAGGATAAACTGTGCCTGCTCGTAAGCTCCCTCAAAATCCAATCTTGTCTTTCCCCTTTGGTGGAAAGAAAGCGTCACTTGAGACCCACCCTCTCAGGTTCCCGTCCTTGGGCTTGGCAGAGGAATCCCTCCCTCATTTGCTTCCCTTCCCCAGGTATTGGCTGTGGTACACCACCAAGGCCTACATCGGCGGCATTGCCAGGAAAGTGTACAAGAGGCTGCGCATGTACCAGGTGAACTTCATAGCGCTGCAGAGGAAGATAGACCCTGAGCAAGTCTTACTGCAGTGTGTCCCCAAGCACAAGGTATTGCACGCGATGCCCTGCCAAGGGGCTTCAGTTCAGAGCTGCTGGAGAGGGGTGATGGAAGCAATTGTGCCTGTTCACCACAGGGCTCTGCCCATTCGGCCCTTGGCTTCTCAATTTGATTGAGGGTTCCTGTGGCAATGGTGGTTTTTGTGCTACTGCTCTGGTCACGGTACATTTCTCGCAGCCATTTGGTGCAACAGTCACCAGTCTGTTTCAGCCTTACCACTTAACAGTGAAAGTTGTGCTCTCCTGGTATAATCCCCTGGGCTGGCTGGTCCTACTTGTCTATAATTCTTGGCTGTGTTGTAGTCCGGTATTGAAATAAAACTCATTTATAAACAACGGAAGAGAAACTTCCACCTTGGACGTCAGGGGTGAAATCCTGGCTTCAATGAAACTAAAATAGCAAGGTTCCCATGTAACTTCAGTGGCGCCAGGATTTCACCCCCGGAGTCTGTTTCCCTGACAAGGAAGTTCCCAGTGTGGGTCCCAGAGGGTACCCTGGTAGGATATTACAAGCCCATGTGCAGGATGAGATATGCTGCACAGCATTAGCCTACCTCAAACCATCTTTGAGAAGTAAGAGCTTATAGTCTTCGGGTATTTGCATGCTGCCGCCGCAGGATGAGACTTTCTACAGAATTTAGAAAGCATCCTGACCTGAGCTAAGTGGTATTGCAGCAGAGGGGTCATGGAAGGAAAATATCTCCCCATGGCTTAATGTTGGAGGGAAAGGGGAGTGAATAATTTCTTGGTTATAAAGGGTTAAAATTAATCTGTTCAAACAACCAGACACTGCTGTTAATAATGCCAAAGGAATTTTCAACCTCTGATTGCAGTGGTGTTATAGCCATGTTGGCCCTGGGATATGGGAGGGAAAAATTGTGTGAGGTGATATTTTTTTATTGGACCAACTTCTGTGGGTAGGAAGTACAGGCAGTCCCCGAGTTACGCGGATCCGACTTATGTCGGATCCGCAGTTACGAACGGGGCCCTCCCTCTCCCTGGTCTCCAGCAGACCAGGGAGAGGAAGCAAAGCGGCGCAACACGCGGGCAGCGGACAGCCCAGACGCGTCTGGGCTGTCAGCCGCCCGCGTGCTCCACAGCTTTGCTCTGCTTTGCTCCCCGTC